GGAGGAGGTGGGAGGAGGGACAGAAAGAAAGAAACAAAGTTGTTGAAACAGTTCCTCACTTGGGAACAGTTGCCCATTAAGAAAATAGGTAGATGAAAAGTTCCAGGTCTATAGAAGCAGAGTGGATATTACTGTCATCAGTGGGAATTAATTGATTTATCAATAAATTGGTCTCTCATTGGCTTGTGATCACAATCACCAGAATGGATCCCCGGGAGAGTGGGAACTTTCTGTCCTTTCCAGTTGTACCCCAGTACTTAGAAGAGGGGTTGGCATAGTCAAAGTACATTTCCTCAGTAAACTGAAAAAAGAAAAACAAAAAAGCACAGACTCATTAAGGAGAATTGACAGACCCAGTTTTGCAGCCTTCTCCCCCTCTGACCCCCCAGACTGTGAGCAGTACAGAACAGCTGTTTCCAGAACCTTACTTGAAGGCTGAGTCTTTTAACAAAGTCTAGCAATGCCTCCTGCCGCATAAAACGGTGTCCTTAACATGACCTCTCCCTCTGCAAGATGACCACTGGAGAAAGCTCAACAACAATGCCTTGTCAGCTGTGCTGGCTGAGGTGGACAGCTGGACTTCTCTCTCTCCTTTCCCTTTTAGATTCATTGGTCTCTTGGCTACTCTGTGCCTCAGACTATACCCAAGTAAAGCAGTGTAACTTATCACCATCATCAGTGGCAACTATCTTGGGTTGAGAGCTGGTACCATGGTAGAAGGCCTGCCTGCATGTATTACCCTTCTTGACACATCGGGTTCTGGCATCTGGGAGGCAGGTGTGTGTCACTGACTTTGTTGAATAAAAGGGATTTTCCTTACATAAATCCTTGGGGACAACTTTGTCCTGCTCCAGATGTGGACTTAAAGAGAAGGGTGAGGATGGAATGATCAAAGTGGGCGAAATATAAAACACAATCATCTACTAAAACCAGTGTTTCAAGCCAGGTGTTGGTGGCTGGTGCCTGTAATACTAGCCACTCAGAAGATCTGAGGATCTGAGATCTGAGGATCATGGTTAGAAGCTAGTCTGGGAAAAGTTCATGAGACTTTTATCTCCAGTTAACTTGCAAAAAAAGCTGGAAGTAGAGCTGTGGCTTAAGTGGTAGAGCTCCATTCTTGAACAAAAAAAAGGACAGCACCCAGGCCCCTAAGTTCAAGCCCCTGCGCAGACATGCATAAAACAAACAAAACCCACCAGGCGCCCGTGGCTCACACCTGTAATCCTAGCTACTCAGGAGGCTGAGATCTTAGGATCTCCGGTCAAAGCCAGCCCGGCAGGAATGTCCGTGAAACGCTTATCTCCAATAAACCACCAGAAAACCGGAAGTGGCGCTGTAGCTCAAGTAGAAGAGCGCTAGCCTTGAGCTGGAGAGCTGAGGGACAGTGCTCAAGCCCAGAGTTCAAGCCCCACGACTGACAAACAAAACCTGTGGTTTCTTTTTGTAATTTGATTGAAACTCTAGGCTTTTTGTCAGAGGGTATTTACTAGCACATAAGAAATATTGCATATAGTTTATGCATGTTTGCCCTCATGAGCCTTAGGATTGAGACTTTGAGTCCACCCTGGGCAAAGTAAATGACACCTATTTCAAAGCACTAGACTCAAACAGAAGAGCTAAGAGTGTGGCTCCCACAGTAGAATTCATTTCAAGCTCCAGGACCAACAAAAAATTAGGGCTGGGGATAAAACGAAGTGGTAGAAAACTTGCTGAGAGAGGAAGGAAGGGAGTGAGAAGAAAAAGAAGAGAAGCTGCTAACCAGACCGGTGACTCCTGGAGTGCTTGTCACATGCAAAGATCAGTGGCATCTCGACCACTTCCATCCTCCTGGTGAATTTAACTTAATTGGGGTCAAGCTGTTACCACCACACCATCTACCATTTCCTCTTCCCTTGGTGGAAATGGTAAACAGTTCTGGGCTATTTGACACAAATGTTTAGCAAAGAGGTGCCAAGAGCTTAAAAAAAAGATATATTCCATTTTGTTAGATTTTTTTCAGAAGCAATCATCCTGTGGATTAGTGAATGTTTGCCTAGAAGCATTCTCCTTCAACAAAAAGGGAAGGAAATGACCCCCCCTATTTTTTTTTTTTACTAAGAGCCATTGCCATCATTTTGCACCAACAACATTCCTTGGTTTTTAACTTCTCAGACAAAAAAAGATGAGGAGAGGGGTCATGTTAATTACCCACTAGAGAACGTGTCACTTTAGGACTGAGAGCATCCAAGGTCCCAGATCACTGCTTTAGTAGTATATTTAATAAATACATGTGTGATCAACATCAATGGAAAAAAGTAATGTCACAAATGCCTCAAAGCTGCTTTTGCTGAGAGGCACAGGCTCCCCACTTAGCACTATGAATGAACAAAAGCTGGAGAAAAAATATTAGACATCCCAGTCTCCTCTTCATGTCTGTGTCCTTTGCTCTAAACCACTCTCTCTTGCAGTGACTCATCAGCCATCTTAAAAGTCAGGGAGGCGTAGTCAGGGACCCAACTACCTGCCAGGCCTTGTTACAAGGCCCCCCCCCCCACGCAATCCTGAGATTGGACTGTCCAGCCACCTGC